TTTATAGAAGATGTCTATGATGCAAAACAAATTTTACTCAAGTCGATGGTTGCAAAGGTCGGTCAAGCTAACGTTCGAGAAATTTGGCAGATTACAGATAAATGATCGAGGAATAATGGATGAAAGCATTTTATTATTGTTATAGATTCTATATCTTATTTATGCACATGTATGTCAAACATTTTTCGTGGCATTATATGTCGTCACTACTTTCAAGTACTTTTAGTGTCACAAGTTGCTGGGTTTCATATCACAATGATAGCATCACGTTGGTATCGCAATAACAAGAAGGAAGCAAATGATCAATCAAATGTAGTTTTCGTTAATGAGAAGGTTATTCAATTTCAACAAAATCAAGTCATTCCAACTATTCCTCAACCACTTTCTATACTCTGTTCAGTAGCAACAAGCAACCTGTGTGCAGCAGCTAGACGAAACAAATTTGCAGAATTATGGGGTCTTGCGTAACAAGCTGCACAACTAGCAATCGAGTATAATGATGACAAAATGGCTCAATGGTTGAGAACATTTATTGACCAAAAGAAACGTTCCCTAGCAAATAATAAAAGGGATGAAATGGTGACTGACGAATTTAATGATAATGAAAACAATGAGCCAGCGATTGCTAATCCACCAATCAGTAAACGTAAGGGAAGGTCTGAAACTAAACGATACAAGTCCAGTATTGAAAAAGGACGCCGTCAACCATATGCTTGTCGTACTTGTGGCAGAATTGGTCATAATAGCGCGAGATGTCAAAAAAAGAATTAGGTAGTTTAGTATGCAGTATAATATATGTATATTGTAACAGCAGTTATTAACATAACAATTTTTAAAGCTTTAAGAAATATCTAATTATTTGATAGTTGTTTATTCTATGTTAATAATTAATTATCTGTTTTAATGGCTGCTAATCATTCCTAATAAAATTATGTATACATAATTATAGTTAGGCAAGCTGTTATTTAGTTTTTTGTTAGATATTCTTATTTTGTTATTTAGGATTATTTTAATTAGTAACAGAAGAATTACGTATCTGATCTGGCACTAATGCATGCGCATTTAATCACTTAAGTGCATATACTACTGTTACTATTGTTTTGAAAGAGCTTATAGAACTATCGGCATAATTTAACTTCAATAGTTAACTTATATGTTCTTTGTATAGAACTCAAGGTATTTTACTAAGAAATAAATGCGATTATAGTAATAACTCAAACACGTGAGGTTACGTAATTAATCCATGATCGGGGCACTTAATTATATCTACCGGTAATCAATCAGGTAAATAAATCAAGTTATGTAAGCGTAATTAAATAAA